GCCCCCACCCCATTGTCATCCCTACTTAAGAGGCACCTTGGCCACTAAAGAAGCTACCGCTTAAGCGGTGCCAGGGTCACCTGAGTGGATGCACCAGAAGAGTGCACAAGCCAAATGATCTAAGTCTCAATGGACTCCGCTCGGATTGGTTAAAAACCCTTGCACTCAACCAAACTATGCTACCCCGCAAAAATTGACACTCCAGATTCAACTGATATGTCGAAACTTCCAACAGATGTTGTCTCGAAAAAAGTGAGTCGCCACACCCAAGATCCATTTTAAGCCAAAATCCATAAGATAGCTTGAAATGAGCCCAGAAGCCTCGAGGCCCACACCAAAGCTCTTTCAAGACCAAGTCAATGGTTAGGAGCTAATGAAATCATCAGAATCACATTTTGAGGTTGTTTACTTGAAATTTTGACCAAATTCAACCATTCAAAATTTAGAAGTTCCAAAATAGGAAAGCATGCAGAACAACCAAATGAACGACCCGATGACCAGAATATTAGTCGTAGTAAGTCATAAATGACTTGCGGCCACAATAGGAAATCTCTAAACACTGAATACATTGGAAAGCAATGAAAATAACCTGGAGGGTCATTACAAAAGCGCATATATAAAACAAAGGATCATGTAGATGGAAGTGTACAAAAACATAAGGAAAGACTTGTTGCAAAGGGAAACTTATTGATTTTAAAAAGACATTTCTTTCTCATTTTGAAATGGTAAGAACAATTTAGTGTTGGTTTATCAATTTGAATGGTAACTTTATCAACTTGATGTTAAGTCATCTTTATTGAATGGTGAACTGGAAGAGGAAGTTTATGTTTCTCAACCTCAAGGTTTCGAAATCAGTGGCCAAGAGGAAAAAGTGTAGCATTTAAGGAAAGCACTTTATGCATTTAAACAAGAACCATATGCTTGATACAACAATATCAATTCTTGTTTTATTCAAAATGGGTTTGAAACAAGTGAAAGTGAGACTAATTTGCACTTAAGGAAATGAGGTAAAAACTAGCGTCTTTTGTAAGCCTCTATGATAATGATATAATTTATATGGGCTCTCACTCTATTGTAGCTGAATTTAAATCTAGTATGATGAGTAGATTTTATATGACTGATTTGGGTTTGTTGCATTAATTCCTTGGGCTTGAGGTGAAACGAGGAGATGGTGGAGTATTTGGTTTTCAAAAAGAAATATGCATCATACCTTCTTAAAAGATTTGGTCGGTTGAATTCTAAATTTGTTGCAACATCCGTGAATATGAAGAAAAAATTTCAACAGAAAGAATATGGCAATGGGCAAGGCAATGCAAGAAGTTTTAGAAGTCTTGTTTGAGGTTTGATTTATTTATCGCATACACGTCCAAATAATTCACACTCTATTGGTTTCATTTAAAGGTTAGTGAGCAATCCATCAAAGCTTCATTTTGGAGGCTCAATGGATGATAAAAAGTGACTTCAGGAAATGCTTTCAGCCTTGGATCTGGTGCAATAACATGGAGTTCAAAGAAATAAATAACGACAACATTCTCATTTTTAGAGGCAGAGTCTATCGCAATAACTTCTTCATCTTGTCAATGCATTTGGCTTCGAAGAATTTCTGCTCATATTTACCAGAAGCAAGAGAAAGAAACTGAAATTTATTATGATAACAAATCCACAATTGCAATGATAAACTGGGAAAAAGTTACCCTACAGAAAATGAAGGGTGGGTTGGGAGTTCAACAAGCAAGCACAAAAAATATGGATCTTGTAGCCAAAGTAGCCTAAGGAACTTTTCAACACCAAACATCTCTCTAGGCATCAACTCCGATCAACAAATATGCCAAAGGATCCCTTAATAGCCACACTCACCTAAAAGAAATCCCACAAGAGTGTGGAGACATCTGATTCAGGATGGAACATATGACAAGAATTAGATGGAATAGGTTATCGGAAATTGGAATACAACTTCCTTCTGGTTCAACAAGTGGCTACTAAGACAATTAGATAACGAATTCAAGTACCCCTTACCCTAAAAGAGTATACTCCCTGAATCCATTAACAACCTTCTAAATTGTACCTATGTCTCACAAAGCGTAAACATGAATGATTTGGCTGTTTGGAACAAAGTATAGAAGGTACTCTAACAATTAAGTCAGTATATTAGTTACTCCAAAATAAAAAATCTATAGAACCTCTCATATATCACGACTACAATTGTATTTGGAACCTCAAATGTCCAAACAAGATTAAATATTTATTTGGCTTTGTCTACATGACAGGATGCCCACTAAAAATTATCTTTACCTAGTAGGAATCGAGATAAATTATATTCTTATACTAAGGACGGATACTCATATACCATGACCGTTTATATATGATGCTAAATTTAAAGTTGAGGAGGAGACAACACAGGCTATGCCATGGATATTGTTCCCTTATTTAAAACCCACCTAATTTGTGAAAGAAGCTTTGTCTTTAGTAGCAGTTGTGGTTGGAAAACCTTTACAATTAGATATGCCTACAATCAATGAAACTAGGCCTAGTTGTGCGAGAGTTAAGGTGCAGGTAGACCTTCTGTTTGATTTTCCTAAGCAAGTGGATATGAAGATTAATAATGAGAAAGCAAATGAGTCTACGGTGGAAAGGATCAAGATAAAATACGATATGATGCCCAAATATTGCAAATAGTGTTAGGTACAAAGACATGATGAGGAAGCTTGTAGAAGTCTGGGGGAGTGCTTATGTAAATAATGATAATGAGACAGAATAGGGTAAAGAAGGATATAATAATTCTAAGCATATCAAAGAAATTGCACCTAGAATGAGGAAAGTAAGTTGGAGATATTGGAATCCCATCAACAAGAATGTACCAAGAGATAAAAAAAAAGACATGAGGTAATTGAAGAACAAAGCAATATAGAAAAAAAGCATTAATACTGAGAATGCATTTGCTGCTTTTTTTTAGGAAGAATGAAGAGGTGAATCATGAGAGGTCTGCGGAGATTGACAATGACAAATCTATAGAAGCCAGAAGCAAGGAGAAATCACATACTGAACATCATCACTCTTCAAATTCAGAAATATAAGGTGGTGGAGAGTAAAACAAAAGCACACGCAGAGAAAAGAAAGAATAAGTGCAGCACTTAGACATGAAATAGAACAGAGAAGAACTTTATTTTACTTGAATTGAAGCTTTGTTCTTTTCCAGAAGGCACTAAGAGTTATATATAAAATAAGCATTAACTTGTAACCCCTACAATAACTCTAACAAATAAGACTCCTATCCTAATAAACAACTAACCTGATCATCATTCCTAAAATATAGGAACGGTTATTTGACTCAGTAAACTGCAGAAGTAAAACAGTAAAAGAAAACTCTAAGATGCACTAATTTTTAACACTCCCCCTTAGTGCATGCTTACTATCAACAACTCCAAGAGCAGCCCTGAAATATTCAAACTTAGGCTTTATCAAGGCCTTAGTAAATATGTTTGCGACTTGCTCATTTGTAGAAATTTCTTTCAAAACAACTTCTTGCTCTAGCACTTTCTCTCGAATATAGTGATGACGAACTTCTATGTGCTTCATCCGACCATGAAAAATTGGATTCGATTCAAGCTTGATAGCACTTTCATTATCACATCTAGTTTGAACAGAATAACCAACTTTGTATAGCATCTCTCCTATTAATCTCTTTAACCACATACATTCATGCGCAACCATAGTCACGCTATGCACTCAGCTTCAGTTCTAGATAATGTTACCACTGGTTGTTTCTCGTTGCACCAAGAAACCATAGTTGAACCAGTACTGAAACAATATTCTTAAGTTGAATGTCTATCATTTGTATATCTAGCCCAATCCGCGTCAGTAAATCCATTTAACATGAATTTCTCATGTCTTTTGTACATAAGACCATAATCTAGTGAGCCCTTCACATAAGGAAGAATTCGCCTTGCTGCATCTAGATGTGAGCTTCTTGGACACTGTATGAACTGAGAAACAATTCCAACAGAATAAGAAATCTCCGGTCTTGTGATAGTTAAATAAATTAAATTACCAACAAGTTGCTGAAATTCTTTGGCATATTTTAATGGATTTCCTTCAGCTTTCATCATCTTGAGATGTGGTTCCATTGGAGTTGGCTTTTCTTTCGACTCCCCCATACCAAAACACTGCAATAGTTTCCTCTCATATGTCTTTTGAGAAACAAAATATCCTTGATCTGTTTTTTCAATTTCCAGACCAAGAAAACAGCTCACTTCCCCCAAATTCTTCATTTCAAGTCGAACTGAAAGATCATTTTTTAACATAGAAATCTCAACTTCATTATTTCCAATAATGATCATGTCATCCACATATAACAAGACCATCATGTGCACATTTGATTATGATTTAAAAATAAACTAGAATCTGTATCAAAAACTTTAGAGCCACAAAAGATAAAGTATTGGGCAACTTACCCATACCACGCATGTGGTGCTTGTTTAAGACCATACAACGCTTTCTTTAATCGACAAACATGTTGAAGATACTGCAGAGAGACGTATCCTTTTGGCTGCTCCATAAACACTTCACGATCCAATTCTCCATAAAGAAAAGTGTTCTTTACGTCAAGCTGCCACAACTTCTAATTCATAAATGTCGCAAGAGAAAAAATTGTTCTTACAGTTACCATTTTTTCAACTGGATTGAATGTTTCATCATAATCCAATCCATTACTTTGAGAAAAACCACGAGCAACAAGCCGAGCTTTGTATTTTTCGACAACCCCTTCCGAGTTTTTCTTCAAATGATAAACCCATTTGCAAGTGATCAGCTCGCAAGTCTCAGGCTTCGATACCAACTCCCATGTCTTATTTTTGTTCAAAGCATGAATTTCTTCTTGCATAGCTGCATTCCACTTGGGATGCCCTTTGGCTTCTTAATAGCTTAATGGTTCATCCAATACTCCTGTAAAGAAGCAAGACGAAATTGAGCAGCAGTTCAACTATACCTCATACTCTTTGAAGTAACTTGGTTGTCTTTTGTCCCTTGTTGACCTCCTTTCAGTTTGTCATTAAACATCACCTGAATTTGAGCTTCCTTCATTATTTGGTTCCTGCAAGTTGCTCTTAGGAAGCTGCTCAAAATTCTCTTGATCACCATCAATAATAGTTTCTTGATTGCTGGATTTTTGGGCAGAATGGTATAACGATATTTCGTCAAACATGACATCTCTGGATGTGACTAGTTTCTTGGTTTCAGGATTCATAGACCTCCACCCTTTCCTATATGAATCATATCTAACAAGGACACACTTCTTTGCTTTTGTATCAAGTTTGGTTCGGTTAGTTTTTGGAATATAAACACAACAAGTTGAACCAAATATCCAAAAATATTTTACATTTGGCTTTTCATGATATAGAATTTCAAAAGGGGGTCTTTCTTTACCTAGCCATGGAGGCAAATGACTTATCACGTGACACGTGTATTGAATAGCTTCAGCCCAAAGCTCTCGAGGGAGATTCTTATCGTGCAACCAGGAAAGGCTTGTAGAAACAAGATGAGCTATTTTCCTTTCGGAAACACCATTTTGTTGGGGGTGGGGGGGGGGGGTATTTGGACATGTCATTTGCCTCGAAATACCATTCTTATAGAAGTATTTAAAGAATGCATCAAGCATATATTCGCCTCCATTGTCACTACGCAAGCATTTAATTTTTACCTCGAAATCCTTAACCACGACAGTTTTAAATTCAGCAAATTTTGACAAGGCTTCACCCTTCTCTTTCAAGAACTTCACCCATGTATATCTTGAGAAGTCATCTACAAGTACCATGACATACCGAAAACCACTATAACTTGTTGTTTTTGTTAGTCCCATCAAGTTTGTATGAACCAACTCAAACATAAAGGATCTACGATTTGCTGATCTTTGAAATGGAAGACGGTGTGATTTTCCAAATTGACAACCTTGACAAACTACATCTTCATGAATATTCTATAAAGCTAGTAGACTATCCACCAGTTTCTTCGAACAGATTTGCCGCAACAATTGGTATCCCAAGTGCCCCAGTTGGGCATCCCAAATTGTTGTGCTATCTGTTCGACTTGTCTTCTTCACATAAACTTCCCCTACTGCCATGACAAACAACGAACCTTTATTTTCTCCCGTAAGAACAACATCAGTAGATATATTCTTCACATTGTCCATAATCTTCACATCATTTGGACCAAGCAGAATATATTTTCCAGAATCATTGATTTGAGAAACTGAAACTAAGTTTCTCTTCAAGCCTAGAGCATGAAATACATCGCTCAACTTGACAGCCTCTGTATCTCGAACATCAATCTTCAAGACTCCTTCATTAGCTACTGGATATGTCGAGTTATCCTCTGTAACAACTACTCGTTCTCTTTCGTGTTGACACAACTCTGAAAGAAGAGAATCATTTTCGGTTACATTATGTGAGCAACCAAAATCAAGGATCCATTCTTATTTGCAGCTATCATTATTGTAGAGAGCTTGAACGAGTACAACATCATCGTTCCTCTGCTCAGTAACCTCAATAGTGAAGCACTGCTCCTATTTGAGTTTCTCATTTCCATCATTTTCACTTGCAATATTTGCTTTTGAGAGCTTCACTCTACAATATTTCTTGATGTGTCCAATTTTACCGCATCTATAACACTTCCTATCATTAAAGTTGTCACCAGTAGCTTTTTCACCATTTGATTCTTTTTCATTGTTCCTTCTTTCAATGATGTGTTTTTATTTTCATTCTTTTCCCTTGAAAAGAGAGTTGCATATGGTTCAAGGCTTCTTGCCATTTGCTTTGCCAATGGCTCTTGGTTGGAAAGCAAAATTTTAAATTCTTCAACTGAAGGTTGTTTTTTCCAGCCCTCGATGGAGGTGACGAACGAATTATACTCCTTCTTCAATCCTCGAATAAGAAATCGTCGCAATCTTGCTTCACAAATCTTCTCATTAGGATCTAATTCTGAAATTTCAGCACAAATATCTTTAACTCGCAAGAAATATTCAGAAATAGACATGCCTCCCTGTGTTAGGATTGCCAATCTATTTTCCAGCAATTGCAGCCTAGCCGTGCTCTTTTTAGTAAACAATCTCTCAAGTATTTCCCAGACTTCTTTTGGTGAACTAACATCACGTACATGATTGATGAGCTCTTTTCCAATTGATGTTCTCAAAGCAAAGAGTGTTTTACCACATTTGATCTATTTTCTCCGTAGTTCTGAATTTTTTGGAGTATTTGCTGGAATTTCTACTTCAGCACCAGCAATAAGATCACATAGGTCTTCACCTTGAAGGTAAGCCTCCATACACATTCCCCAGTACTTGTAGTTTGTCCCTACAAGCTTCTCGACACCAAACTGTGCATTTGAACTATTTCCCTCATTTGCCGACTCAATACTGCACAAACTTTTTCTCTGCAACTTTCAATCTCCTCCAACAAGACTTAACAAACTTGATAGACAAGAAGAAGGAAACAACGTTCAAGCCAATAACCTGGCTCTTGATACCATAAAACAAAAGCACACACAGAGAAAAGAAAGAACAAATGCAGCAGTTGAACAGGAAATGGAACATAGAAGAACTTTATTTTGCTTGAATTGAAGTTCTGTTCTTTTACAGCGGGCACTTAGAGTTATATATAAAATAAGCATTAACTTCTAACCCCTACAATAACTCTAACAAATAAGACTCCTAGCCTAATAAATAACTAATCTGATCATCATTCCTAAAATATAGGAACGGTTATTTGACTTAGTAAACTGTAGAAGTAAAACAGTAAAAGAAAACTCTAAGATGCACTAATTTTTAACAAATAGCACCGAAACTAGTGATTTAGAATTCATAGACAATGAAGATGAAAATAGTGATAAAAATGCAGTTGTGGAATGTAAAGAGACTGGACTATCTCCTCTAGTTGTATATAAATGCATAAAAGGTAAAACTAAGAGGAAGGTTGATGCTCCACCAACAAGAATACAGATCAAGAGAGTGGTGAAGTCATTTGCTAAATGATGAGGAAAGCACTTATTTTAACATAATAAAAACTTACCACAAAACTTGTTTTCCCAATGTGGTAATCATCAAATTATTAATCTTCAATAGAAACTAAATCTAATTCTCCATTACTTTCCTCTGAATCTACATCTTTTAATAACTAAGAAACTTTTGTAAATAACCACTTGTACTACTCAAAATTCTAACTTGAACAAACTATAATTCTTTTCTAAAAGCTTTTTTTTATTTTTTTAAATACTTTTTTCAACTATTTTTCACCTTCAAGTATTGACATAAACTGCTTTAATCTGGTGTAACATCTCGCAATTTGAAATAACTAGGAAGAAGCTAATAATTGGAAATAGCCATTTTTGGAAAGAATGAAAATCTGGAAAATTTGTTTAAGTTATGGAAAGTTGAATTTTGGTCAACTTCAAATGGCCATAACTCCTAGCTCCGGGTGAGTTAGGTGTACTTCCAGTTATGGTTGGAAATCTCTTGGAGTGATCTTTCCAACGCTGCCGAGTTTGCATGATTCTGAGTTTGTATGAGTGAGTTATCCCCTTTGGAAGTTGGGTTGTGCGGTTAAGGAAAGTCTAATTCGGAATTTTGAAGGGTAGATTAGTCTTTTCCTTACCCAATTAATTTAATTTGTTTTAGTGAATTAATTAAGGGGTCAAATCAGAATGATATCAGTCTAGTCAATTGGAAATTCACGCTAGGGCTTGGAAAAAATAGAAAAGAGGAGAAAGGAGAGGAAAAGCTCAAGGTTCGCCAAGAACGATCAATTTTGGTTGTGGATTCGCCAAGGAATTCATCTTACAAGGTATGTGAGTCTTTCATAGCGTTGGGTTCATTCACCCACGCGCCAAACATGTTTAGTTCAGCGAAATTCGTCCTAAAAGAGTTTGAAAGTTGATGTTCTTGACATGTATTCTTGAATTTGAATGTTGTTCTTCAATTGGGCTGAATTGAAGAGTTTCTAAGATCTTTACGTTGAGTTTTAGAGTTGTTTTGAATGAGGTTCTTGAGTACATATGCTGGGTATCAAAATCTAAAATGAATTTGAGAATAATGGTCGACTTTAGGTGAATTGGGGTTGTAAATCGGAGAAGGAAAAAGTCGAGAGTGATCTGGCACCCAGGTCCGCGTCGCGGACTTGCTCCCTCTGTGTATAAAAATTTCCTCCGCGTCACGGAGAGAGCGCGGACTCCTCTGTCTCAAATTTAATTTCGCGACCATTTATTTAGAAACATATCCGCATCGCGGACTTGTTCCAAGACGGTGTTTTCCTGACTTTTCTAATGTTTTGCTGTCTAAATCACTCCTAAACATCATGAGACCTTTCCTATCACAAAT